GATGACGACGACGACGATGATGGAACGATGATTTAATTCATCTTCTGGTTGTTGTTCTTTTACCAAATGCATTGAATGGTTATTAATTATGGATGTGGAAAACCAGGAATAACATTAAACAAATAAGATCGATGGTGGAATACCCTATACTGTCAAATTATAAGGAGCAACGGTGATAGATATTGGGTGCGGATCTGAAATCACCTTATAATATTAATATATGCTCTGCTCCAGAACCTGCAAGAGTCTATTAGTTTTGCAATATCATATAGGAAAAATCGATTATCATAGTAACAAGTTTTACATTCTTGCAGATCTGGAACAAATCATTATTTAGTATATATAGGAAAATTTTGAAAGGAAGAAATTTTATCTGATAATTCCGAAATGCCAAAATGCAACTTTGCATTACATTTGAAGGTAAAAGATTTGAAATTAGTATTTTTTCTCATTAAAAACCTAAAAAGGCTAGTTGTAGTCCATTGGCCTTTATGATAATTTTTTTACTATGATAACCAAATTTCCCTCTATCTATATCGAAAACAATTTGCAAAGATAGCAGACTCTTGCAGATTCTGGAACCGATCCATAGGAAGTGTATATGGAATGGTAGAACTATTTATGTATCTTATTTTTAAAATTGACATGCAATAGAAAACCATGCAACAATATATATTTGAATAATTTCAAGATATATCAAACTGAATTCATATCTACATGTTATATACACCAAAGTACAGGTCGTAACAATCCAGAATCATATTTCTTTTGGTTTAATTAAAGTACAAAAATAGGACCCTTTCACTTTTTCTTAAAAATAACCCATACGTAAAATAATGTGCACTTGTTAATGTTTTTAAGGTGAGTCAAATTGATTAAGAAAGGAATGGACGGCACTTGAAAGGGTTACATGTGACCCTGACCTATATATTGCCAAACAGAGCAGAATAATGCAGTCAATTTAAAACATTTTTTCGAAAGAATATTATTTTTCGTCTCATGTCAATTTTGAATTATTAGAAAAATCCAGCAGATGTGCGATTCAATTTTTCAATAAATACGGAGAAAATTTAGTGGAATATGGCCGGTTATTATATATTTTCGATAGATAAAAAATGATGTTGTCGAACATATAAATCGTTTTTCGTTATTAAAAGTTTAATTTAAGTATGAACTGTCCGATGAGCAAAAGGTCAGACCATTTCTTTATTTTATATTGAAGAATTAATTAATTAATTAAAATTAATTACAAATTCGTTGGGTTTATTATTTTTAAACTAAAATGCAGATGTCATTGTGAAAAAAATAATTTTTTTGATACATTGTTTTCATCTTGACGCCTGAAAGTTGAATAAAATTTCTTTCTGGGCGAAATATGCCAGAAGAAGAAATAGTTTTCACAACATTTCACTATAAATCTCAGACGAAACTTTATATCTAGGTACAATAGTTTTTAAGAAAATTACATTAAAAATGTATATATCACAAGTGAAAATTATGTGTTTGCCTTTCTTACTGCCAATTTAAAACGTTTCCAATCTAACATAAAATCTGCCTTTACACTTTTTTGGGGAAAGTATCAAAGGTATAATTATTCTAGATATAATTTTATTGTGAGTCTATGAAATATAAAATGTGTATATTCAATATGCACCATGAATAAGTAACATCAATTATTATACCCTCCACCATATATAGTATAGAGGGTATATTAAGTTCGTCATTCCGTTTATAACTCATCGAAATAATAATTTTAGACCCAACAAAATATATTTATTCTTGATCAGCGTAAAATTGATTGGATATTATGTTTGTCATTCTGTTTGTTAATCCTCGACAGAAAATTGCTTATACAGGTCAACGTCCTCATATAACCGTACCTCCCCATGTTAGGTATAATTATTATATAGCTCCACTTTTTACAGGAATTATTTCAAATTTAGAATTTGAAGTTCCCAATGGGTACTACTTTCAATGATAGAAAATTGCCTGTGCAGATCTGGGTCCTCGTATATCCCCCTCCCTATATTCGATATTTTTATGATGTTTGCTAAATTTTTCAATGAAATTATCTAAATTTTTGGTATTTAGAGTTCGTAATCTGGCATTCCTCTTTTTTTTCAACGGACTATTTATACTTTGCAACGCCATTATTGAATCACTAAAAACGTTCCCTACACTATTTTATCACATAACACATAACAACACTTCCAGTATGGTTCAGATGCAGAATATATTCGCCGACCATGAACATAATATTTTAAGACATTTCGTTCGACTCGGTAGCAAAGAAATCAATTATCAGATCTAAATTAACTAGATTATGGTAAAGAGGAATTGAATTCCAGCGATGAGCCTGTAGAAAAATACAGAAACGATGTTTGAAGAAATTTCATTTAATTTTATGTTTTACTTTGAATAAAAAGCCTTAAAATAAATGTGTAGGACTTTTTATTGAACCTTTCTGTGCGACTTTTTTAAAGAAACGACTTTTTGTGCCAGTATTTAATTTTCCAATGGTTCCACTGAGTAAAAAACAAAACGAAAGGTTTGTACTGACGAAGAATGATACTTGATGAAAGATATAGAAAGGATGACGAAGATCTGAAAGATAATTTCGAAAAACAGTTAATATCTAATAGTAGCGGCGAAGAAGATACCCCAGAACCAATTGAGATACGATAGTATAGAGTGTATACCATTTGCCAAGATGAGGTCAGAATAGCAATCAATTCACTGAAGAAAGTTAAAGCCAATGGATTACCAGACGAACTATTAAAACCTGTGTTGAAATGCTGATAAGGAGTATAAGTTGTACAATTTGCCTATAGGAAAGAATTGGAACTCGAACTAAATATAGATCTTTTTTTTTGTTGCAAAATGGTCTGGCTTTATCCCTTTATTGTTGTTTTTATAAAAACAACGTTTGTTTATTAGTGGAGAACGATGGTAATGTTTACCAGGAGGTAAGGCAGGGAATACCTAGCCACACTGTTCTAAATATAGATCTTTAAAATGAATTGATATAAAGAAGGAAATCTGGACACAAGTACAGATAGCGTGTTGAGAGTGAGGGCGCATTTTCCAAATCTTATATAATCTAATAAAAATGAGTTAGGCAAGAAACGACGACTAGACCAAGCTTAAGGCTTCAACGTGCAAGACGTTCAGTTTTAAGGTAGTCGAATCATTCATATACCTCGGTATAGATAAAACGAACGGCTGAAGTTTTAAGATAAAAAGGAGAAATGTCTTGATTAACAGAAGCTATTTTGTTCGCAGTAAGCAGTTCAGAAGTAAAGTCTCCTCACGCCAGAATAAACTTACACTCTACAAGACGCTGGGTATTTGCGCAAACAGATGAGGCATCTCTTGAAGTGTTAAGAAGAAAATTAAATCGAAAGATCTAGAGTCCGATCTGTATCGACGGTGAATATTGGCGCCGTATGAATCACGAGCCATGTCATCTATACGTTGATATAGACATAATCTGACAATGTTATGCGAATGGATGAAGGTTAAGATCAAAAATCCGATGGAAAGGTCAAGTGGAACCAATATTTTTACCTGAAATTCCGTATTTAATAATAATGATAACAATACAATAATAATAATAATAATAATAATAATAATAATAATAATAATAATAATAATAATAATAATAATAATAATAATAATAATAATAATAATAATAATAATAATAATAATAATAATACTAATAATAATAATAATAATAATAATAATAATAATAATAATAATAATAATAATAATAATAATAATAATACTAATAATAATAATAATAATAATAATAATAATAATAATAATAATAATAATAATAATAATAATAATAATAATAATAATAATAATAATAATAATAATAATAATAATAATAATAATAATAATAATAATAATAATAATAATAATAATAATAATAATAATAATAATAATAATAATAATAATAATAATAATAATAATAATAATAATAATAATAATAATAATAATAATAATAATAATAATAATAATAATAATAATAATAATAATAATAATAATAATAATAATAATAATAATAATGGGTTTCATTTGAAAGGTATTATTCTGCGCAATTTTCCTTTTTTTAATTTTTCAAGTTCCTTGAAAATGGTTTAGGGTATTATATATTCGGTCCAGCCGAACTTAGCTGCTATTTTACGCAAATGATTTTTTCTTTAGCTCAATCCTGGTTAGTTTATTTCGAATAGTTGCAAGCACTCCATACCTAATTTACAACATCCAACCCACCTTGGAGGTGTAGGGTATAATTACAACAAAGACATGGTGTCTGACAAAGAAGACAGCAAAAAGTTGAAAAACAGCCATAACAAAGTGTCTTCAAAGGATCAAAACACATATCAAGAATAAAATGGATTGTTATGACTAAAACAAGAGGGGGAGGGAAGGGAGGGGGAGGAGGTAGAGCGAAAATCAACGAAATAGAATGCTGTGAATCAATGCTCCACATGCGTTTTGATCCATCCACAGCGACTGGTTGAAAGTGTTTATGGCTTTTCTAAAGTTAACCATTTATGCAGATGGTATGTAAATTTCATAATATCATTTGTTGTTGTTGATTGGCGATTCTTAGTCTTTGAGTTATTTTGCTTGCTGCCTCGCGCTCCTCGCCATCTACACTGGTGTTGTGTTGTTGTGGCCATGCGTTGTCACTGATATTGGATTCGGAGTTCTGAATGCCGTATTTCACATTGATTTTTTTCACCTTTCTTTATTATGGCTGTTGTATATTTTTTTCCATTTCTTCTTTTTTTTTGCCTGGGGATTGTGGCAAGTGTGAGTGCGGGTTCTGTGTGTGCTTTTCGCTTTGCATGGCTTTGCTTTTTTTCGTTATTTTTTTTTTTTGGTGGGGACTTATTTATTTATATATGAAACGTGACTTCTTCATGGAATTGTGTATAAATAGGTGCGTTCTGGCCAGCGACATAATCAGTTTGATTTCTACGCGCGCTTAAAGCAGTTCGTTGACTGCTAGTTATTTGGGATTTTGAAACGATTAAGGAAACGAAAACTTTAAATAAAATAAAAAGTTGTGTTGAATTTTTTTTAATTTTCAATTAAAGCTAAATCGAAAAAGTGTTTTAAAAGTGTTTAGTTGAGAATAAGGTGCTTTACACAATTTATTTATTTATTTTCTAAACTAATAATAGACACAAGTGTGTGTGTTGGTGTGTGAATGTGCATTTGATTATATTATGTATGTCAGTAGTTGAATCCTCTAACCAAAGAGAGAGAGAAGACAAAACAACAACAACAAAAATAAAAAGAAAAGGAAAAAGTTAATGTTGAACGAAACGTGGACGTGTCTAGCATATGAAACTTTGAAAATTAAAATTTCAATTATTTCAAGAACTTCATATTGGAATTCTAAGTGAAAAACGAGAAAAAAGAGACAAATGAACACTTAAAAAAATTCAAAATTCTTTGGAGCAAAGAAATTTGTTACAAGTTTGTGTCTTGAGACTTTTGTTGTATTTTGAATTTAATTGCAAGTGTGTGGTTGAAGTTGTTCTGTTATTTTTTAATTTTTTTTATTACATGTTTGTGTCTTAAATCTTTTGTTTTCTTTAAGAACCATATTTCATTCTGAAGTTTGTGTCTTAAGTCTTTTGTTTTTTTCCACCTTATCCTTTGTGCCCAGCCATTGCTCATCGTCAAACAACAAGCTGTTAATAAATTTCCTTTCAAATTTAACATTTTATGATTTTGTTTTTCTTTTATCGCCAAAATGTCAAATTTAAGTCTTAAATGAATTAAATCAACAAAATGGGACTTTATTTGCTAACCGTATCTTTACAACGAATCAATGTAATTGATACTCATTAATAAATTAGTTAATGAATGAAACGAAACAAGCTTTAAGGTATTATCAGCTTTTGTTTTCTTTGAATTTCTTGGAAGATTTGTGAAAAAAATTTATTGGTAATTAATTTAATTAATTGTGATTTCTGTTTATGAAGCGGAAAATTTAAAAGGCATCTGATAATCGGGGGTAACATGTGAGAGAGATGAGATCTTGTATTAAAAAAATTCTGGGAAATAATGTTAAGATCCTCGAAAGCAATGAAATCAGGAGGAAAGTGGGGCGTTACTCCGAAAAATGTACCCACATTAAAATGTATTGCGAAAAAGTCGTGTACGTCCAAATAAACCAAATCTATTGGAAAATTTGCCCAAAACTTCCCGAATAACAAAAATCTGGGGGTATCTTACATATGGGCAGTATCCTAAAACGACATTTTCTGAGGGCCTATATTAATAATTCTTTTTATTTAATAATTTCAAAATTTTTAAATGTTGGGGCATTTAAATGGAACTTCGCCAAATTGTAAAAAAATACTTGAAATAGGAGTTGTCCCAAGAAGGGGGCCCAAAAGTAGATCGCTATGGCCTATTTTCAGTACCAATGATTGTGGGTGTAATCCAATGGTCTCTAACAAATTTCAAAGCTCTATACTAAATGCATGCTAAAATTAAGAAGGTAAAGTCATTTCAAATAAGCATACCATAATTCTACCATGACTTAATGTCGCGAAATATATCTCAAACTACAGGGTCTCTTTAGATACATTCAAAATTATATAAAGGCCTTAACAAGATTTAGCACAAGAGCCGGAAACTCTTTTCGGGTTTTGATCTACAAACCGAGGACTTTCAAATCCACTTGACATTTCCCACAATCCAAACTGGCTATTGTACCGTGAAATTATAAGAAAATGTGCAGCAAATTGGAAAAAAGTGATATTTTTTCAAAAATAAACAAGGTTTTTTTTTTATATTTTTTATGGTATATATTAAAAATACAATTTTCTTTTGTTCTGAGACCCACAATGAAAATTGATCCAGAATAATTCTTCCTTTGACATTTTTCCCAAAATATGAAATATAACTGGAAAATTTGCCTGGGATTATATACATGTTAATTGGGGTCCCTTTGTATATGTCCAAAACTATATAAAGGCCTTAACAAAATTTAGTCTAAAAAACCCAAACTTCTTTTAGGTTTTTTTTTAGGTTTTGATCTACAAAAGAGTACTGTCAAGTCCGCTTGAAAATTTTCATAATCCAAATTGGCTATTGTATAGTGAAATTATAAGAAGAGAATTGGGAAAATTGCTAATTTTTACGGAAATAAACAAGGTTTTTTTTTATTAAAATTAAATGAAAATTAATGATATTTTTTCATGTTTCATATAGAATATACACATTTCTTTTATTCTGAGACTCACAATGAAATTTGATCTCGAATAATTCTTACTTTGACAATTTTCCCCAAAAATGAAGTATAATGGGAGATTTTGACAAAGATTGGAAAGGTGTGCAATTAAGGGTAAAAAAAGGCTTAAACATAATTTTCATAAAAATTTTCAAAATTTCGAATGTAATTTTCTTGAAAACTATTAAGCCTACATATATGATTCATTCTGAGATTTATTGTAAAATTTTGTATAGAAAATTTCTTTACTTAACAACTTCCACCTAAAACGAAATTTTTGGTTACTTTCAGGCGTCAACTCGAATTAAGTCAGAGAAAAAACTATCGAGAAAATTAAGAACATTTTTGTATTTTTTTTTTTTTGGAAATTGATGCAAATATTTTTTGATATATAATGATAATATAAATTTCTTTTTTTATGAAGAATATGTTTGTCTTTGACGCCATCTTTCTAAAATGATGCTTAGTAGGAGATTTTTTCATAAATTCACACAAAGTAGGGCTTTAACTCTAAAATGTCTCCTTAATATATATGAGTTCCAATCGTTCAGGTAAGGTTTAGACTTTTAACGCCTTTGGCGTCCTATAGTAGAAATTCATGACAAATAATTTTCTAGAATATTTTAACTTGCTACGATCCCGTTTGAGGGAGTTTTTAACCAAATTTAGAAATTTGGACCAAAAAGAGACCCCTTTGGTGACTCGTTGAAAATGTTGAAACAAAATAAATCTTGTGTTCTTATCTGAAATATTGCCGAAGGCACTATATACCTAAAATCAACGGGTTTCAAGTAATTTTAATCCGAAAATTTAAAAAATGTGAAAGAGAAGGGATCTTCCCCCTCTATTCAGAATACTTTTCGATGTAAACTTTCAAAACGTCAATACACGTGTATTTTTTGGCACTACTATAATAATCAGCTGAATCCTCCCCGTAATTTGAAATTTGTCGCAGTGTTATAAATTGTAATCAAATTCCATGCTGCAAAAATTCGCTAGTATTTTTAAATGCAGGTCAAAGCAAGACACACCTGGTTATACCCTACACCACATAGTGGTAACATTCAGAAGGAAGCGAGGTGGGTCCTTAATTAATTTTGAATTTCTTCATAGAATCACTCCTTTAATATAATCCTTCTCCATGCACTCTATAGCAATGTTATTTGGTATAAAAGATTAAAATGTCTCCATCAAATTTAGTGAAAATAGAGAGAGATGAGATCTTGTATAAAAAAGCTGTGGGAAATTCTAACCATTCTCTAATGTCCAAAGTCTGCGGCCAAAATGTTTGCCTGCCCAAGGCTTTAAAACACCCTCCAGAATATTTTCGCCATAATATTCGGCATTTATTCTGATGCCACGGTCGATTAATATAAGAGGAAAGCGACCATCGGCTGTTATCGGAGAAAATCAAATTCGGCAGTTTACCACTTTCGGCCAAGCGAAGCAACTCTTTAACTCTTTTGAGTCTTTATGGAATTTCAATAGTTTTACCCCGAGCCTGTTGTACAGTATTTGCAGAATGGAATATTGCGATATGTTCAGCTCACGAGCCATTTTTCGTCCACTACGACGCGGGTTTCCATAAAGTCGATTCTTTACTTTTCGAGCAATTTCTGCTGATGTTGCTGTTTTCTTCCGTCCACTTCCTTGACGTCGGGCTACGCTACCAGTATCACGGTAACGAGCGATGGTACGAGACACAAAAGATTTATTCACATTTAAATGCTGGAGTGCTCTAACGATAGCCACTTGTGATTTTCCAGCCAAATGTAAAAAAAATCACACTATCGCGCCTGAATTCCATCACGAATAACTTTTTTTCTGGAGAATTCTCACTACAATGCTTTAGTATGCTTGATATAGTACAATTTTGTGACAAATAATTTTGTAGATTAATTTGACTTGCTATGATCCCGTTTAAACTAAGAACCGCTTCTTGAAAAAAGTTCCAAAAATACCCCTTCGTTGACTCGTTTGGGGTTAAAATTAAATCAAAATAATCCTTGTGTTTTTATTTGAAATACTCCCAAAGACAATATATATCTGAAATGTAAGGATTCAAAGATATCTTAATACAAAAATTTCCAAAAGTATGGAAGAGGGAGAACTTGTCCCCTCTATTTTGAAAACGTGTATTTTTTGGCTTTTTTTTATAATCTGCTGGATTTTTCGTGCAATTATTCTTTGTGTTGCACGGTTTTATTGAAGGTATCCTACTTTAATTGTGGAAAAGTTTTGAATTAAGTTTTTGAAAGGAAGCTTTCGTTGTATTCGGCATGTACTTCTAAAGGGCAATCAAAGGAAAAAGTAAGAGCCTGTTTCTGAATGACGATATGAAAACGAAGTGGAAAAAAATGTTCAAATTATTATTTGTGATTTCCATTCTGTCCGTCTGTCTGCCCATTTTTTACGTAGAGGTCAAAGTTTTATCAGAATGGACACCTATAATTTGATATCGACCCACTCTTAGATATAGTCTCCTTGTCATTTTCTGTAAAGACTTCCACCTCAGGTTCAAACTATAGTAAGTGTAAACTAACATTCAGAGTTATTCGAAGGTTAATTTAGCTAGTAAAAACGTGTTAAAAAACTTTGCAGTGCTGAGAAGTTTATTTTGAGTTCAAATGTTGGTGATCCTTGGGACAAGAAATAATGGCGCCCAACGTGAAGCTCCAAAACACAACCCAGAGATTAAGCGTTTCTTGTTCTATCGATCCAATATCTAGCCGGATAAATTTGTCAGCATGCCTGCAACTTCAGAGAGTTCATATCAACTAATAATGTTTTGGACCGTAATATTGGGAATATTTTAAACAATAAGAAGTCGAAATTTCAAATTAATAAAATAAAATCATATATCTAGGAAATATACTATATGGTTATGCAA